ACTGTGGAAGTAAGGTGAGGCATTTTTATTGAAATGACGTTAACCATAAATCTTGTGCTCATTTGATAAGTGTAATGGTTTGTGGCCTTCGCGAAAGCCTCGTCGATTAAGGAGATTTATCGGCACATGAAAGGTTTGCATTTCATTTTTTGTATCATTTTTAAGTCAAACGTGTTTTTACGGCTCCTTTACTCACAACGAACACGCCTAACAACTCACGTTCCATCACTCAACATAAAAACAACGTCCAAAGTTCGTTAGAACATACCCAATCATTTTACTACATGAACATTAGACAATTTTTCACGTGCTTCAATTGTATTCGACCAATCAAATTCACATCTACGCGCGCCCGTGTATTATTCACTATTTATGACTCATTTCCTCGGCAAAGTTCACAATGTATTACATCATCAACTTTTGGTTTTCCAGAGAATGTCACGCAATAGTAATAACATCAATATGGTCGTGAAACAAAAGTGAGTCATTTGCATCCTGTCGCGGTCGAGTGAATGTCTTTGGTGGCAGCGAGAAATTTTTAACGCTCGCCATCCCCAGCTTGAAGCGTTGCGTCTGCGTTACCGCGAGCTAAGTTTCAGGGGAATGTAATAAAATACTCCTATGTCGTGAGCCCACTAGGAAAAGAGTACCCTCTCGACACCGTTCGTGTTAAGTCACCTTCTGAAGAACTCATCAAAATATCTTCGGTCTTACAAAATTTTAAAAATTTAACCGGTTCTTGAGGACTAAATCAACGCTCCGTGGCTGACGAAACGTCGTATTAAGGTAAGCTCTGAAATAATTTATAAAACTAACTGGATTTTTCTCTCACCCACTCGCAATGTTCCATCAGTAACATTGTGAGTTTGTATTAAATAAGAAAAACTTATTTCGTTTTAAAATAAAGACAATCCGGTATGAGGCACGGCGGGTCTTGGTTTCATATAGCTCTTTCAGCAAAGTGAGCCGGCAACAACACACGAGACCATATGATCGCAGACAAAAACAAGTTATGAATATGATATCGTTGTAAAGTGCTGTATCCCTGCTTTCTCTTTTTTTTCTATAAGAATATTTAGTTGGAACCGAGAAAACTGAGTGTTACCAGATAATCTAACGCCTTTGTCCTTTGGATTTTGAATGTAAATTACCGGCTACGTGTTATATCCTGTTCGCATTATGGAAATCGAAAGAGGACCTACTTGTCACAAAGTTTCGAGGGGAAGATGTTTTCAACCGCTCCTTGCTTATTAAATAATACAAAACTTGTCAGGTATTTTTAGTAAGAGAAAAATTTAAGGCAACGAATCAACATACGAATTCTTTAACGCATTATTTGACTTCTTTTTGAAAAATGTGGGTTTAATTAACTCAACAGCGTAATTGAATATTTATCAACGCACCTGTGGAAAATGAAATGAGCTGAAATCCAACTCGCAGATAGATTTTAGAATAAATGATCGTCTTCTTTGCTCCTTTTTGTCCAACATAAATTAACGAGTGATACTGTTAAGAGTGGTGGAAGGTAAATTCATTGAAGGTTTGATGTCCAAAATTGAGCTTTTCTCAAGTAATATTTGACTAAATTTTAGACGTTTTGAGACGGTTTGAGTTTACTTTAGGTTTAATTTTGTATCAAAATTTGTCCGGACGTAACTTTTAAAAATAACCCACGAAACAAAAATTTTTATTATGACAAAGATGTTTTCTTTCTCTTATGAGGAGTGGAAGATTTACATCCTCACCTATGGATCAGTGATCCTGATATCCATTTTTTATCCCACACATTTCTTTACAATTGTTTCTCCGCCATGTTTAAAGGCCTGGAGAGGTGAAGTATGATCGATGTCTCAGATTTCTGATAATGAAAAATTACCTTGTCGTCTCAAATAGAGTGAATTAGTAATGATTAATAAGCGTTTTTTTTAGAAACGAAATTACCATCAGAAAAGCAAATAGAGGGAGGCAGTAGGGGAGGTGGTGTGCAGACTTTTGGGATATGTATATTTCTTTTTCTTTTGCTTCCCTGACCTAGTTTACTGATTACAAATTTTAGAAGAGATATTTCATGAATTCTCGGGTAATTCGTGTGTGACAACTTACATTCCATCACGTACCATGGAAACGTACCAATCAGAACATACCCAATCATTGCACTACTTAAACATTAGGCAATTTTTCACGTGTTTGAATTTATTTCACCAATCAAATTCCATTTTGCCAAATTAGACTTCGCTCCATCACGTTTCATTTCCTTGTAAACAACCAGTATGATCACGTATTCTAACCGCATTGTCCAACCCCACTGAAAACAATTCACACTAAATGCTACTGATAATGAACTTGTCACGTAATTCTCCCGCGTTTTCAAGTTTTATACGATTAAAATCGGCTTTTAACTACCTTGGACTTAATCCAATCGCATGTCTGTTCCTTGTAAACAACCTGCATTTTATCAGGTATTTCACACACAGTAGGCACAGTCCAGATAGGCAACAACCAATCAAGGAGCCTTCTCTCAAATATTATCCTTTTCTCTTGTGAAATGTATCTTCATTTGGTCGAGATCACAATATATATTTGGTTAGAGTCTACTGGAGATACAAGAAAGTTTCAGTTTGCTATTCGTGGTAAAATTACATGGAATTATATGTTTTAGACATCTAACTGTAGACAAATAATTTTGATTTTCACTCTGTTAGAGGAACGGCAATAAGCCTGGTCTCTTTTGCAACTATTATTTGGTCTCATCACGGTACGCGCTCTCTCTCCGTTGGGGAATAGATGGCGTTGTGTGACGAGACCAAACAACTGCTGCGAAGGAGACAACAATAAGCGTGGCACCAATCCATTTTATTTTTGCTTGGAAGAATTTTAGGCAATAGAGACGATAGACCACAAGATGCCTGTGTGATGTCTGACAAATTAGGTTTTTTCTCTTTCTCTTACGGTGAAGTAATGCAATATTTTCGTCCTTTTATAAAGTTATACTCTTTTTCTGTTACAAAAATGAAAACATTAGGTACACAAAGTGTCCCATCTCAACCCGCCCAGTCAAAAAAAAAACTCTTGCATGCTATGCATGCCTATGTTTTCACTTAAAAGCCAGAAAATTAAAAATAAACTAGTTTAGTGCAAGTGACATTAGTGCATGACCATTACCTTGCTGGGGAATATTAGCACTATGTCATTTCTATACTGCCGCAACCTTGAGCCAATATTCCTCAGTAAAGCCTCGTGCTCGACTGCTTAGTAAGGAGTTACTACTGGCTTTCGCAAAAATGATCTACCCTGTACATGTATCTCAGGCTAGTCTGAATTCTAAAACAACTGATTTCCTTGTTGTTCTACATCTCTTGATATTTTTTGTACAAATAGACAACCAGCAAAGATTATTTGATATTTAAAGGACAACCAGTCTTGATTATTAGGAGAATTAAAGTTAGCATCAAAGACAAGTCAATTTTGTGCACAAAACAATGTAAACATGAAATGATTGCAAAAACAATTTGTTTAATACACATATACTTGTAAACCACAAATGTCAGTAGTTTTACAGTATTTAAATCCATTTCAACATACATCAGCATGCATAAATATATATATTTCACTGTATTTCCTGTGATAAGTTTAACAGTTGAATTATGAATATGGGCGTCAGTTCAACTTTAGGAAATTGAATAAAGACATACATCATTTAAAAGTTTTGACCAGTAGTTCCTATTTAAAAATCAGATAAGAGAATTTTTCTTTTTCTTCGGTTTTTTAAAATTTGTTTCTTACAAGGATTCAACATAAACTCTCCCCTCTTGTGGAGATATGGTGGCCTTATGATTAGTGAGGTGGACTTGTAACCTGGCCAGGTTATGTGTTTTGTTCTTGTACAACACTTTATTGTTTCTCACAGTGCCCCTCTCCACCCAGGAGTATAAATGGGTAGCAGAAATAAGTCAGGAAAGCCTGATAAAATGCCAGAGGGGGGGGGGGGGGGGAGGAGAGGAGAGTTGGGGAGTTTCCGGCGTGGGATGGACTGACATCCTGTCCAGGGGGTACGTGGGTAGTAATACTCCTAGTTGCTTCATCTGAGAAAACCAGGATTAATCATAACCATAACAATTTCCTCAAATGTGATTGGTGCATCAGCTGATTTATATATCACTTATCACTCTGTACAGTTGTAATTGGACAGTTGGCTGTAATCGGACACCAGTAATCGGACAGTTGAAGCGGCCAATCATACTAAGTCCACTCAGCAAAATCCACCAATCACACAATTGATCACATAACCAAATTAGCAACGACCACTTACCCTGAAAAAAACTGGGAAATTTTCAAATTTGAAGAAGATTTTTGTCCTAAATGTCTTTTTTGTCGGAACTTGTAATGGTTATGATTAATTGGTAACAGGAATTCGTGTCGTCCAATTCTGTCTGTAATCATACGAGTAATTGACAAATCGGGCTCCTGCTTCGCTGTCGTCCGATTTTGTCACTGGAAATACTCGTATGATTGCAGACTAAATTGGACTCCACTCGGTCCTATTACCATTATTAATTGAAGCTCACGCCCTGGACGGGCCACTGGTCACATACAGACTTCACCTAACTACCCACTACCTCTTAGTTGAAATAATCTAAATTGCTGGTGTTTACAAATTGTATGAACTTGCAACAGACAGCTGTTGATGTTCACCCAGTTTATCTCAATCAATTGAGGATGTATTTTATAAATCTTAAAATTTATTGTAATGAGAAGTTCTTCTGCATAAGCATCTTTTGTTCTTTTGCTGCTTTAATTGTTTGTACATGTATGCTATTAATATTAATTGACTTGTAATTTTAAGTCTATGTATCCCTCCCATTCCCAGAAGGGAAAAAAAAATTATTTTGCAATTAGGTAATATGTTGTGCTGATGTGTATTACAATTTTCAACCATCTTTTTTTCACGCCAGGATAACTTAAAACAGCAACTTTGTAAGAAGCATCTTCTTACAGTTGCTATGGCTACAGAAAGAAGTTCAATTAAAGTTCCATGTGAAAATGAAGACTTACCTGACAAAGAAAATGCACCAGATTTTGACGAGGACACTTTACGAGGTGAGCTGTGTTAACTTCAGCTTCAGTTATTGTTAGAATAAGTTCTATACCATCAGTTTCAAGAATGTAAGCAGCTGTGGAGAAGGATAAATACACTGTACGACCACTTTAAAGAAGATTTGGCCAGTTATGACTCTATTCTCTGATTAAAATAAGCTGTTCATTGACAGGATCTATGACACAGAAACCTTTGTTATTTTCTTTCTCAAAGTTCAAAGCAAGTACACAAAGTTATAATAAGTAAAGACCATATTTGATCATCGATAATATAACATCCATTGCGTAATTTTGCATGAGTTTATCATCATTGTCACCATCTTTCCATTATGATGCAACAATCACTTTGAAAGCTTCAACATCCCCTCCCTTCTCTTCAAGCAACCCACAGGCTTTTCATTATTATCCAATCCAAAGGGAGGGAGGGGGGAGAAGGGGGATTTGAACCTTGCCTGACGTCAGTCAGGGAATTCGAACAAAAAGTGTCAGTTAGGGAATTCGAACAAAAAGTGTCACAACTAATCTCCAGTAGAATGAAAAATTGAACATGGAGGTGTTTAAGGTAGATGGTGCACTTTCAGCAACAAATGGCTCACAAGAAATAAGGCTTCAAGGTCTAGGTTTTAAAGCCTAGTCAATTAGTTGAAAGTCAAATTGCTAATTGTTTTGCTTTTTAAATGAAAATTGTGTGGGGAATTTGAACACATTATTAATTTTCCCAAGGGAATAAGAATTTTAGGAAACCTATCTCCAAAAGTTTAAATGCCCAAGGGTTGCTTCAAATTGAGTGATACTTAATTTTCATCATTGATATATATATATTGCCACTGTTGTCACCCACCTTATCAGCATCATCATAACTATTAATCTCATTTTCTTTGTCATTATTCTCATCATTTATATAATAACTGTTTGTCTATTAGTAATATTGCTTCTGGTTTTTATGATTGCAACATTTGGATCTTATTGACCCATTAACCAGCTATCTAAATGTATTAAAAGCAATAGACTCTTCTACTCTATCTTATAATTATAGTGACTCTCTCTGATTATCAGGGGGTCTCACAGACACAGAATGAGACTCAGTTCAGTAGAGAAGGTCAGTTCCACCCAGAAGCATCACATTAGAACTCCAGACTTCCCACATCTGTTATCTGGCCTTTGGTTAATCTTCAGGGTTCTTATCTTAATTTTCTTGATTGTTTCAAAATAGGAATTACACTTTCTTCTAAACAACAACCACAACAGCAACTGAGTCTGCTTGGTTGTGCTTTCAACCAAAAAATCTCTCATGAACTTACTGAGTGGGGACTGCCTACATCATCTAAGCTTTTCAGGGGATCGGTCAAGTCAAGCAGGTGCAAAAGGAAAAATGCGCAGATTTTAAATCTCCATATCTTGGCAGCTCTGCTTATAAACTAATTATTATTAACTACAACCAGACTTTGACACAAATTATGTTTAATTTTTTCTTTGCAGCCATGGCTGATGTTTATAGGAGTGAGGGTAATAAGGTCTTCAAGAAAGGAGATTTCATCAATGCTATTTATTTTTACACTGAAGGAATTAAATTGAACTGCAATGAGAAAGTACTGAAGGCTAAACTGTACAACAACAGGGCTATTGCACATTCTAAACTTGGTAAGATGATGAGAGCTTTAAAATGCATTTTTTTGCTCTTTTGAAGCTATTGTGCTGTCTGTAGTAGTTTTCTGAAAAAGATGATAATTTTGAATGCATGCCCGGAAAAATATACATCTCATATTGGCCTCTCAAGTATACAAAGAAGTAACCTCGTACCCCAGATATCAATGAGGATCACAAGTTTTTCCCAAAATGATTGCAATGGATTGGTAGTGGGCTTGCTACATGTATGGCTAATCAGAGATATTTATTTTTAATAACAGGAAATCATCAAGATTCACTAAGGGATGCAGAAGCAGCCATTGAGTTAAATCCAACTTTCCTTAAGGCAATTGTGAGAGGTTAGATGTGTTAGCCGTGCAATACTTAAATGAAAATAATAAAGAACTTAACATTCTAAGGTTAAATGAAGTTAAATCTTGTCTCAATTGACTTTAATTAAGAGGTCGAGACCACTCTGATGTATATTTGAATTCAGCTCTTGACTGCTGTGCCATTACCTTCCATTAATTACGATGATAATATTATTTTGAGCTGGATGAAGAACTCAATGCGCAATGCAAAGCAAAATTTCAGCATGAATATTTTAGTTCCTTAAGCTCAACGAGTGAGGTAGCTAAGTGTCAGATATGTTTAGTCATTATGTAACTGTTTTAAAAAGAAGTAAGAAGTAGTTCTTAACTCAAAACTGTAAGAAAACTGTCCTCATTCGTTGAGTATAACTCAACTTCAAGTGCTATTAATAATACAAGTAATAACAACGTAACTAAATAGACAGCATGAGTAAATCTTATTCTTGGTGAACTTCAAACCCTAGTTTGAGTCGTTTCCTTATTAAGAAATCAATTATCAACTGATTGAGTAAATCAAATATGTTAACTCAAACTAAAGGGAAACTAGTATTAATATCAATAACGTAGTTCTTTAAAGATCAACTAAAAGATGTACTATTACAAAATTTTAAAAAATGGGTCTCATTTTTCCGTATTTACATTGCATGTCTTATATTCTATTTATAATTACGTCTTAGTGATTTTTTGGGAATTGTCGTTCCCAATTTAAATGTTCTTAGAAGTTTCAGTTGTCCAAAGCTAAATAAATCTAACTGAAACCTACTAGGGCCTGGTTTTCTTTTCCATTTAGTTTTTTTATTTTGTTCTTTTTTGTTTTTCTTCTGGTCTGTAAAGATTTAACTTTCAGTGGTTTCATGTTCTTTTCTTAGAATTGAGCTACAGTGATTATATGCTTCTATGTGTTGTTGCCTACAGGAGCCACTGCCTGTGTTGAACTGAGGAGATTTGAAGAAGCAATCACTTGGTGTGATAAGGGATTAGCTGTATCTTTTGAAGGAAATTTCTTTCATTTTTAACTATGGGTATGATGGAAATAATTTCCACAATTTGACGTTTAAGGGTATTATTTATGATGGGAACTTGCCAGCTCATACTTTAAGTGTGTGTGATTAAGAAACGTGGGGAAAGTTATTACTTCATGACTTATTGATGACATTGCTCCTTTTAGCCAATTTGACTTAGTTTATAATACTCTCCGAGCCATAACTGGTAGATTAGTTTAGTTTACCCTTTAACTCCCAGATCAAATTTGTAATTCTCCTTACTGTCAACCATACAATTCTTGTAATGTTAGTTCAGAGAATTCAGTATTGGATCAACTAATTATCCCCAACAACACTTATCTGATTGATATTGTATTGCTATTGTAAGGAGAAATTCTCTTTTGGTCACTCACGGGAGTTAAAGGGTTAGAAGACTAAATTTTATCCAGTTTATACATAGTACTTGGGTAGATGATCTCTCTAAAATAAGCCAAAACAAAAAGCTCGGTAATGTTTACATATCTTATGCAGATTTTCTTGCCTTCGACCTTTTGCCACTACTTAGAGACTCGGAAACTTTCGTTGTGCTTTCCTATGGACAAATAAAAATTTTAAAGACATGTATTTGTGTTATAGACTCATTTCTTCCACTGCTGTAAAACATTTGTCAGATGTTAAAGCTATATTAATTTAACAAATTGAGCAAGTCATAGCTGGGTGATTTCAAAAAAGCCATAGAGTACCACAACCTACATCTTAAAATAGCTAAAGAAGTAGGAGACAAGCATGGGGAGGGTAACGCTTATGGCAATCTTGGCAATGCTTATCACCGTCTGGGTGATTTCAAAAAAGCCATAGAGTACCACAACCTACATCTTAAAATAGCTAAAGAAGTAGGAGACAAGCATGGGGAGGGTAACGCTTATGGCAATCTTGGCAATGCTTATTTTAGTCTGGGTGATTTCAAAAAAGCCATAGAGTACCACAACCTACATCTTAAAATAGCTAAAGAAGTAGGAGACAAGCATGGGGAGGGTGTTGCTTATGGCAATCTTGGCAATGCTTATCACCGTCTGGGTGATTTCAAAAAAGCCATAGAGTACCACAACCTACATCTTAAAATAGCTAAAGAAGTAGGAGACAAGCATGGGGAGGGTAACGCTTATGGCAATCTTGGCAATGCTTATCACCGTCTGGGTGATTTCAAAAAAGCCATAGAGTACCACAACCTACATCTTAAAATAGCTAAAGAAGTAGGAGACAAGCATGGGGAGGGTGGTGCTTATGGCAATCTTGGCAATGCTTATCACCGTCTGGGTGATTTCAAAAAAGCCATAGAGTACCACAACCTACATCTTAAAATAGCTAAAGAAGTAGGAGACAAGCATGGGGATGGGGTAATGCTTATATCTTGGCAATGCTTATCACCGTCTGGGTGATTTCAAAAAAGCCATAGAGTACCACAACCTACATCTTAAAATAGCTAAAGAAGTAGGAGACAAGGTCTGGGTGATTTATGGTACCACAACCTACATCTTAAAATCTTGACAAGCATGGGGAGGGTAACGCTTATGGCAATCTTGGCAATGCTTATCACCGTCTGGGTGATTTCAAAAAAGCCATAGAGTACCACAACCTACATCTTAAAATAGCTAAAGAAGTAGGAGACAAGCATGGGGAGGGTGTTGCTTATGGCAATCTTGGCAATGCTTATCTTAGTCTGGGTGATTTCAAAAAAGCCATAGAGTACCACAACCTACATCTTAAAATAGCTAAAGAAGTAGGAGACAAGCATGGGGAGGGTGTTGCTTATGGCAATCTTGGCAATGCTTATCACAGTCTGGGTGATTTCAAAAAAGCCATAGAGTACCACAACCTACATCTTATAATAGCTAAAGAAGTAGGAGACAAATCCTTGGAGGCAATGGCCTACTGTTCATTAGGATGGGTTTTTGAGTTGCAAGGTAGACTGCCAAAAGCCGTTGAACATTACCAAGCTAGCATAAACTTATTCAATTCCTTGAGAGTACTTCTAATATCTAAAGATGAGTGGAAAGTTAATTTTCGAAATCAGCATCAAGTGGCGTATACGGGTTTGTGGAGAGTTCTCGTAGAACAAGGTAATGTAGATGAAGCCTTATTTGTTGCTGAGAAAGGACGAGCTCAAGCTCTGACCGACCTCATGGAATCCAGTTTTTGTGGTGGAACAAGTCACCACAAGGGAGAAGATGAAGATTGCGCAGTTTTAAAAAACGTTCCATCAAACACTGTCTTTCAGGCAGTGGACAAAGCTAACGTCAATCTTTGGGTTGTGTCCGAAGGAAAACAAGTTCAGTTAAGACAAAGTAAACTCAAAGGTTTTGTTTCAGAGAATAGTGGATCTAGCCTGTCCTTTGAGTCGTTCATGCTCGGTGTCTATACACAACTTGGTGTTCGTTCTAATGTGAGATGCGAGAATCGATCTTTAGATGCTTTGAGGGAGGGCCGTTCAAAAGTGGATGAGAAAACCAAAGAAGCCAAGCCTCAACCTCACATCCAACAAGACGGATGCTTGAGCACTTTGTATGATATCGTTATGAAGCCGGTGGCTGACTTGATTGAAGGGGATGAGCTACTCATTATTCCTGATGGACCCCTGTGGATCGCTCCTTACGCTGCATTGAAGGATGGTAATTCTAAATACCTGTGTGAATCGTTCACAATCCGAGTCGCTCCATCGTTAGCAAGTCTTAGACTCATTGCCGATTGCCCAGATGATTATCACAAAAGCAGTGGTGCGTTACTTGTAGGAGATCCGTGGGTATCCGAGGTTACTAACAGCGAGGGAAAGAAAGTCTTCGAGCAGCTTGAGTATGCTAAAAAAGAAGTAGAAATGATCGGAAAAATTCTGAATATCACGCCAATCACTGGCAGTCAGGCCACGAAACGTGAGGTGTTGAAAAGACTCAGTTCCGTTTCCCTAGTTCACTTTGCGGCACACGGATGTATGGAAACTGGCGAAATTGCTCTTACACCTGACCCAGACCGAATATCTACTGTGCCAACGGAGGAGGATTACATTTTAACAATTGGAGATGTGTTGAATGCTCAACTTCGGGCCAAACTTGTTGTGCTTAGTTGCTGCCACAGCGGCCGGGGCGAGATCAAGGCTGAAGGTGTGGTTGGCATTGCGCGCGCTTTTATGGGGGCTGGTGCTCGGTCTATTGTGGTGTCCCTGTGGGCGATTGATGACGAGGCTACTCTTGAGTTCATGAAATACTTTTATCAACAACTTGCAGGAGGTAAACCAGCAAGCGAGTCACTGAACCTGGCCATGAAAAGCCTCAGAGAATCAGACAAGTTCTGCGACATCAAACACTGGGCGCCCTTTTTGCTGATTGGAGATGACGTCACTCTTGACTTCATGGCAAAGGAAAGAGAAAATTTGAATATGAAATCACATAAATGAAAACTTTTTATTTCATCTCAAAATGAATGACGCAGGAACTTGGAAGGTTTAAATGCTTCTCTATTTTGGCGCTTTTTGGCTATTTTTCATTACTTTTCACTTTTTTGTTAAATGGAACTTGAGATGTGTGACTTTACTTTGGTGAAGAAATAAAACAGACTATTTCAGTATATTTTGTTCAGTGGAATTGCTATTTTTTTACCTTTACAAATTTAGATGCTTGCGAAGAGAACAAGATGCAACAAGGCTTCTGCTGTTAATGCCTGAAGTTGTTGAAGGCGACTACGAGGTTTTCGTTTCGCCAAAATGACACTCAGATCTATTCCTTTATTGCAATCAGTTATGTGTAAAATAATTTAAAGGTTTTTTTCTTGTACACAACCAGGAGCTTGTCCACCGGGTTTTAATTACGTTGATACTCTAAGCTTTTGATAAGCAAAGAAACAGTTTGTCATTTGCAAAAGGTGGCGAAATTTTAATTTCAAAAATGTGATTTGCAAAATTCGCAGCCATATGTGAATTGATCTTAATGGTTTTTCTACGTCATAAATTACTTTGTTGCAATTTGCAATTATCTTTACAAAAAAATTGATTATCATTTTCAACTTTTTTTCAATCCATTTTAATGCAATCTAATTCCATCAGTGCCAAGATTGCCATTCTAAGCTTAATTTGAAGAAGTAATCATCAGAGATGATGTTGTTGAATTTACTGACCATATGTTAGAGACATTAGACCTACTCTCAGGGGTGTGGCCAGCCTCTAGTCCCGTGGGCCCGGCCTACAATTGTTTTCCGCCCGCTTGACTTTTCTAATATGACTCTTACAAATGTTGAAACAAAAATTGAAATTTCTCAGGAAAAAGGCCTACAACAAGTCAAAGAGCTGGCTACAACGGCCTGCTTTCAATCAAACGAGTTTGATCAATTTTAGTCCGTTTTATCAAACACTCATCAGTTTGTTTTAGAGAACGACGACAGAGACAAATTGTCCATGTAATCTAAACAAGGAAATAGCGAAGCAGAGTTTACTTTAACTGAAGTTTCCATTGCTGTGACTTTTAATGTAGGTGACATGGAATTTGTTGTTTTCATTAGGAAAATATTTACGCCAATAAATTAGGGAAACACTTGAAGTAAGCCATGTAGTCCTCAATGGGAATTATTTTGGTGAAAATGTTCATGAATAAATGTAAATCTAGGCCGTAGTTAAAAAGGTTCAGGGCTTCAGGATAAAACTTGCATTTTTTTGAAAATTTCCTGTTCAAATTTTTTTCATGGCTTTAAATTTACCTTAGTATAATTTGGAGATGTCTGATGATATCTTTCTTAGATTTAAGAATTTATACTTAGGTATTCAGAGCACGCTTTGTAATTAGAACCCGTTATGTGGTCAAAAGTTTAAGGTATACTGTATCACAGCTGTTTTAAAAGAAATTTTTGTCAAATCAATGTTAATTTTTGACAGATTTTCATAACTACCATTGGTATATGCTGGTATAAAATGTAATAGTTAACCTTGCACATGGTTGAATATGATGTAACGTAGGATTTTAAAAACAAGCTGGGACAATTTCGACTAAACA